CACCCAGGAGTCTTGAAATTCCACAACAGTCAAAGGGACTCTGGTGCCCTCTGCCAGACATAGGCAACCAGGACCAGCCAGTCTCTCACTGGTCTCCCTACAGAATCCTGGGTAAGGATTCGGAGCACCCAGAATGCCTTTTCTTCCATCAGCTGACTTGTTTATTTGGTTTTTCATTTATTTATTTCATTGCTGGAATAACACCCAGGATTTCCCACATGCTAAGCAATGCTCTACAGTAGCCCGGCTGCTGCTGGCCATCCTAAAGAGAAAGTTTAGGTAAAAGCCTGGGAATCTCTTAAATAGAAAACTGTACCAGGAGGAAGCGCTGGAGGCTGTGAAAGAGGAAGCTGCATCCTTGGATGGCTTAGCAGACTGGGCAGGGTGGTGGTGGAGGAGGTGGTGGTGGAGGAGGTGGTGGAGGAGGTGGTGGTGGTGGAGGAGGAGGAGGTGGTGGAGGAAGTGGTGGCGGTGGAGGAGGAGGTGGTGGAGGAGGTGGTGGTGGTGGAGGAGGAGGTGGTGGAGGAGGTGGTGGTGGTGGAGGAGGTGGTGGTGGTGGAGGAGGAGGTGGTGGAGGAGGTGGTGGTAGTGGTGGTGGAGGAGGAGGTGGTGGAGGAGGTGGTGGAGGAGGTGGTGGAGGAGGTGGTGGTGGTGGAGGAGGAGGTGGTAGTGGTGGTGGAGGAGGAGGTGGTGGAGGAGGTGGTGGTGGTGGAGGAGGTGGTGGTGGAAGAGGAGGTGGTGGAGGAGGAGGTGGTAGTGGTGGTGGAGGAGGAGGTGGTGGTGGAAGAGGAGGTGGTGGAGGAGGTGGTAGTGGAGAAGGAGGTGGTAGTGGAGGAGGAGGTGGTGGTGGAGGTGGTGGAGGAGGTGGTGGTGGTGGAGGAGGAGGTGGTGGTGGTGGAGGAGGAGGTGGTAGTGGAGGAGGAGGTGGTGGTGGTGGAGGAGGAGGTGGTGGTGGAGGAGGTGAAGGTATTAGTGGCAGAGAGATGGTGGGATAGGGGTAGGGGTGAGGTGGTGGGGGTAGTGTGGGTGAGCGAGGTGGTGGGGGTGAGGGTGGAGGTGAGGTGGTGGGAGGGGATTGGTGGTGGTGGTGTGAGCAGGGAGGTGGGGGTAGGGGTGCGGGTGAGGTGGTAGGGTTGTAGGGTGGTAGGTGGTGGTAGTAGGGATGGTGATGGGGACAGGGTGATGGGGTGGGGGTAGGAGTGGGGGTGAGGTGGTAGAGTAATGGTAGTGATATGGTAATGGGGGCAGGGTGGTGGGGGTGGTGGGGTGGTGATAGTGGTAGGGGCAGGGTGGGGGTGAGGTGGGGGGGTAGTGGTGATGATCACAGGAGCCAGCTCGCCTTCTACATAAACCCCTTCATCTTCTATAAAGACCCACAGAGGGCAGTGCCCCTGGGTAAGTTGCTGTCTCCAGCTCTGCCTTCCCAGAGATCCCCAGAAGAAAGTTGCTGAGTGTTGCTGTTTATCCAGTCTAACCCTGTCCTCTGGGAGGAGAGAACATGCACTTTTAGGGAATCATGGGTCACTTCCACTAAGGTGGCCTTTGCTGAAGGCCATCTTTCCTGGGGTCAGACTTGGCCACTTCCTCCTTTCCACCTTCCCAGCATTCTCAGCCTTATGCAAAAGCAGCCACACCTCTCAGCTGCAGTTCTGCACCAGGGGCTGTGCTTCCTCAAGGTCATAGTTTACTTAGTTAATCCCCCTCGCGCCCAGCACTGGGCCTGGCCCTTAATCAGACTTCTCTGTTTATTGGGGAATGAGTAAATGGCTCAGGGAAGTTTGGAAACTCGCAGAGCCCAAGCCTGGCTCTTCAAACAGATGTGCACTTAATGGATAGTTTACAGGACAGGTGGCAGTGGCATGGGAACCAGGCGCTTCTTGCAGGCCTGCTGAATGATTTCTGTCATCAGACCCCAAGTTTCTTCACCACCCTGGTTCAGTCCTCACCCCCTTCAATGACACTCATGTAGTAGCTACAGGACAGATGAAAAGGATTCACAAATTCTGCCTACACCTTGTGCAAGGGAATCCCAAAGGTTGCCTCACCCTTGTGGCCTTCAAAACAGACCACAAAGAATACAGGCCTTGGCCTCCATCTGTATAGAGGAGAGAACAGATGGCTAGTCAACTCCCTCGGAGGCCCTTGGAGACAGGCAGCGTGTGGACAGTTGATGGATGACCTGATGGACAGGGTGGCTGCCAGTAGCTGTCCCTACGGAGCTACTGTCATCAGGGTACCCCACCCAGAGGCTTGAGGATGCGGGAAGACTCTTGGCATGGAAGTGAGGTTGCAACTAATGCTAAGACGATGAGCAGAAGTTGGAGCGGGAAGAAGAGAAGATAAACTGAGGGCCCCAAGAGAGTTGGCGAGCCTGCGCACTCAGCTCCTGGGGTCTGTCTCCAGAAGCTGGGAATGCTGGGCTCGCCCTGCTCCTCTGCTAGTGCATGAGTCCTCACCACAACCCAACTGGGTAACAGTACAGAGATCTTTCCAGCCCCATGTGTCTTACGGTGCTGTTACATCGCTTCAGAAGTCGCATAGGCATGGGGTTCTCTATGGTGTCCTCTGTCAGATCTGTTAAGCTAACGGCTGGTGAAGATGGGCACCAGCTGGGCTTGTCCCATGGGGGCCAGAGCAAGCCAGACTTCAGGGATACCAGCTGTAAGGTGGATGCTACCAGCACCTTCCACGCTAAAGCATCCTCTTCCCTGGGGAGGGGGTAGCAGCAGCTAGCTGGGAAGGGAAAGTGACTGGGAAACCTGAGATACCGGCATGGTCCCTGAGCTATGACGACGAGTAAATGTAGTGGCATCTGGGATGCCAGGCTCAGGGTCCCAGAGGCATGGCGGTGGTTCGACAGGGAGCTGGCAACAGTACTCTGGGGGATTCATGCTTGAACAAGAAAATTCCATCTGTTGAAAGCAGTATTGGCAGAGGAGAAGCTAGCCGAGCATGGTAGTATATTATGACCCTGGCTCTGCGATAACGTGCTTCCTTCTCACTGTCCCCTTTAGAGCAACGTGCCTGGAGCTCAGCGTAGCTAGGCGGCAACACGGAGAAGATGCTGTACAAGCATTTTGTCTGCATGTATATATATGCACCTCAGCATGCCTGGAGTCCCAGGAAACTAGAAGAGGGCTTCAGATCCCCTGGAACAGGAGTTATGTTTGATTGTAAGATACCGTGTGCATGCTGGGAACCAGACCTGTGTCTTCTGCATGAGCAACACATGCTTTTAACTGGCCAGTCATCTCTCTAGCCTCTTCTTTTCCTTAATTATTATTTCTAGAGTGTGTGTGTGTGTATGAGTCAGGTATGCATGTGGAGGTCGGAAGACATTTTTTAGAAGTTCTCTCCTGCTCTGGGACCTGAGAACCAAACTGAAGACTGTTAGGTTTGTATGTTAAGTACATCTACCTGCTGAGCCACCCGACCCTCAATGTGTATCTCTAGAATGAATAAGTCCAGGTTCCTCTCTGGATTCCACATAAGCATCTTCCTATCCACTAACCTCCTTTCTACAAAGCTGATTAAACCCAACCAGTTCCAGTATAAAGGAAGGCCTGGAACCCAAGTCCAATGCATCTGCCTGGGTCTGACATGCTACTGTCAGCCTCCTCTGGGCCTAGCATGCTGCAAGCCTGAGCCAACATGCTCAGCATCCTACTCCCCCTCCCTGGGAGCCAGGCTCTGCTGCTTCCTCCCCACTTCCTCCCCTTCTGACTTTGGCACATCTGGCTAGTCACTTAGTGCTGGAAGGTCCCAGGTAGGTCATGCATCGCTCAGACTGCAGGGCATAGATCTGGACGGTCCTAAAACACACAGCTGGACGGAAAACAGTGACTAAAGGTCACCTTGTCCTTCATATTCCATGTCCACACAGGACGTTCAAAATTCTTTCACTCTTCCTGCACCAAAAGACCCCAGAGAACAGAAGTCTTGATGGTCCACGGAGAGCTGCCCATGTCTGCTATGAATCTCATGCCCTCCACTGGGTTTTGTCTCGGGAACAGTCAGGATGCAAACTGTCTCTGCAGTGTAGGTAACTCTAAACTACAGTCTTGGTTTACAGGTTCTTTCCGACCCAGCTCCTGCTAGCTCTTCTGCTGTTCTACGCCTCCCTCACTTGGGGTAAAAGGAAAGCCCTAGCAGACAGAAGTCATCTCCCCCAGAACTGTAACCACGACAACGCCCCAGATAGCCATGATTTTAAGTCACTTATCATATTGTTTTCACCTGAGATCTAAATAACATGGACTTATACTCTTTCTTTTCTTTTCTTTTCTTTCTTCCTTCCTTCCTTCCTTTCTTTCTTCTTTCTTTTTTCTGAGGCAGGTTTCTCTGTGTAGCCTTGGCTGTCCTGGAACTTGCTCTGTAGACCAGGCTGGCCTCGAACTCACAGAGATCTGTCTCTGCCCCGAGTGCTGGGATTAAAGGTGTGCGCCGCCCATTGCTTTGCTGGACTTCCTATACTTCAATGCTCACACACTCTCAGATCTGGAAGTGGCACCTGTTAGCCTCCAATTTAGGGCTCAGGAAATATGGTATCCAGGCCCCTAAGCTACCTCTATATGATGAAGCTGAACACTTCCTTACCAACCACCCACGGCATCTCCCTCCTCCTGATTGTGCCAGGGAAGCAGTACAAGCTCAGGCAAAAGCTGACCTTTACGCAATGACCTTGAAAAGTCACAGGCTTAATTCAATGCTGTCACTCCAAAAGGGTACTGGAGGGAAACAGCAGACCAGGGGGCCCGGCTGAATTGCTGAAGGCTTTGTCCCAGTGAACTTTTGGGGGACTGCCTTCAGTGTCTTGACAAGGCACAGGGAAGCAAAGCTCCCTCTCCTGGGGTGGCACCTCCCTCCTGGTCCAGCTTTCCATTTCATCACTTGCCAAGCTCTGCTCACAGTTCCAGGGTACCCTCAATCACCCACTTAAGTACACCAACGGGAGATGTGCCCACTCCCTGCTCACCCCTGATACCCAGGGAAGCACTCACATCAGCCGGCTCCCTGCGGTGTCCTTCCCCAGTCCGCAGCCAGCTCCTGCTCAGCTCACTGAGCTCTGGGATGGGCTGTACCTTGAGCCGTACACTGTCCCCAGACTGCCGGATCATCTCCACAATTTCATCCCTGGACTTATTCTCCACATTCTGTCCGTTAATCTCCACCAGTCGATCTCCTGGCACTAGCCCCAAGGCCAGGTCCTTGGTGCCTGCACCTGGCTCAGCAAAGTGAACCACCCGTCGATAGGCCTGACCCTCAGGGGCCCGGTCCAGCATGGTTGTGCGCCGAAGTGAGAAGCCAAAGTCTCCTGTGGGTCTTCGTTGCAACTCCAGCTCCCGGAGAGCAGGAGGTGGCGGCGGCACCACAGCGGGGAGACGTAGGTCAGCTGGGAATCTTTTAGTCACCAGCTCAGGGACTCGAGACCGTGGTCCCGGTCGAGGGACGCCTAGGCCAGGATGTTGCATTAGCTGTCCCTCAAGCGTCCTCACCTCTACCTGAGGTGATGGGGCTGCAGAGTGCTCTGAGGGGGTGGAGGTCTCTGAAGCACTCTCATCCCGGCTCCGTTGGGAGAAAGAAAAACGTTTGACAATCATCTGAGAGTTCTGCTTGGCCAGTGAGCCGAACTTGGCTGCCCGCTGCAGCACAGAGCCCCGGAAGCTGCCTTCCTCACCCTTGAGGTCATCACTGGAGCTGGCTGTACTTAGGTGGCCTGAGTCCAGGATGATGCTGCCCCGATTGCTGTCAGAGTCAATGTCAGTCAGGTGCAGGTCAGAGCCGCTGGCCACCTTGATAGGGATGGGGTTGGAGATTTCCAGGCGCGTCTTGGATTCACGCTTGGAGGACCGGTTCAGGTTGAAGAAGCCACGGCGCATGCTCATCTCTTCGAGGCTCCGCAGTTCTGCGGCTGACATCCGCTCTTTTTTCTCCTTTTTCTCCTTCTTCTCCTTCCGCCCGCCATCTTTGTCCTTATCTTTCTTCATGAGGTTAAACATGGTGGGTGTGCTGTTTTTAGGGGGTGTACCCCCAGCGGATTACGGGTGGTTAACGCAGCGTCTTTGGACCCCACCTTGCAGCTGCAAGTAGAAATAGAGAAAAGCTATTCAGTCTTTTCCAGCTCAGACAGAAGCAGCTGATACTGATAAACCAATCACCCCTCATCGAGTGCTAATGATGTACCAGGCACTCTGATTTACATAATTTGATCAAACTTCACTCTTTAGACCAAAGTGAGGTGTTCCTGGAGAGACTTGACCTACGGAAAGTACAATGGCAACCTGGAACCCAAATGAAGAACGGAACAGAAAAGGAAGCAGGAGGAACTCTGCAGCATCCCCTCCCCACAAGCAGGGGAACAATGGACTGAAGCAATGGACACCCCGTGTAACAAGGCTCCTTCCCATGCCTGGTATCCCCAGAGCAGCAGCCTTAGCCCCTGCCTCAAAGGCCTTGAAGGGTCCAACTTTTTAAAACAATATGCATTTGTATGAGTGTTCTGCCTGCCTGCACCACATATGTCATAGAAGACTAGAAGGGTTTGGATCCCTGATTCTAGAGTTACAGACAGTGAACAGGCCATGTGGATGCTGGGAACCGAATCCAGGCCCTCTGCAAAAACACTGAGCCATCTCTCCAGCACCTGGGACCAGGCATTATTTGATGTTCTCTTATCGGGAACTACACACACACACACACACACACACACACACACACACTCCTTCCTATTCAACCCCCACAGCATTCCTGCAAACATCTTCATGTCTGCTTCACAAATGAGAAAAACGCACTTGGGAAGTTAAGGTTCTACTCATGAAATAAGTGTCTCTTCTAAGGCCCTGGATACCCAAAGTAAAGCAAGGAGGGAAGGAAAGGGAAATCCCAGACTGTACACAGGCAGAGAGTTGTGTGGTGGGGGTGGGGTGGGATCGGCTAGATAAACAGGATCCTGAAAAACTCACATCCTTCCCTGCCTCCTCCACCAACACCTAAATATAGCCTAGGGAAGAAAGTTGTGTTGGCCCCAGAGAAAGGCCCAGCTCCAAGATGTGTGCACCTATGGTGCCAACCTACCCCCACTCTCATGCATACCCAATTGGGGGCAGGACTAAGAAAAACCTGGTGGGGGTGGAGCTCAGAGAGCGGTTCTTGTTCTAACCAGCAGGGAACACAAAATAGAAGTAGGCCATACCATCTAATTAGAAATCAACTGTAATTTTTCTCTCTCCATGCAAGCCTCCCCTCTGAATTCCAGACAGAGGATCTATGAACTTACCCCTCCAGTAATGGCCTATTGCCAGCCCCTGAACAGGCATTTCCTCTCTCTGCCCCACCCCCACAGCCAGGCAAAGACCTGCAGAAGCCCCATTCCATTGAGAGGGACCAACTCCCACCAACCAAGGTTCAATGCCTAGGAAGGCATCAAGACTAGGAACTCCCAAGGGCTATGTGCACTGCCTAATTGCTTCCCCTCTGCAAATCACCCTGATCCTTGTGGTTCCTGGCAGGTCTTCCTTCTAAAGCAGTACTATCTATAAGAAATAAAAAAATTAATACATATATTATGTACATACATTTTTTTTTCAATGTTTAAAAAGAAACAAGTGACGAGGATGGAGAAATGGCTCAGCAGTTAAGAGCACTGACTGCTTTTCCAGAGGACCTGGGTTTGATCCCAGTACACAAATGGCAGTCCAGCCGGGCGGTGGTGGCGCACGCCTGTAATCCCAGCACTCGGGAGGCAGAGGCAGGTGGATCTCTGTGAGTTCGAGGCCAGCCTGGTCTACAAAGGGAGTTCCAGGACAGGCTCCAAAGCTACAGAGAAACCCTGTCTCGAAAAAAAAAAAAAAAAAACAAAAAACAAAAAACAAATGGCAGTCCACAACCAACTCCAGTTCCAGGAGACCCAATGGCCATTTCTGGTCTCCACGGGCGCCAGGCACATATGTGGTGTGCACACATACATACAAACAAAACACCCACACACATAACATAAATAACAACAAGAAAGAAATAGGTGAATTTAGGCAGGGTGACACATACCTATAATTCTAACTACAAGGAATTTTAAATTTGAGGCAAATTTGGACAGGAAATAGAAACCTTGTTTCAAAAACAAACTAAATAAACTTAAGTTTGATAATATATTTTACTTGATATAATATATCCAAATTATTGTCATCTCAACATCTAATCTTCATAAAACATTGAGATATTTAATATTCAATTTCCCATATTTAGTTCTGTTCTGGTCTTAAATAAGTAAGTAAACCAGGCAATGGTGGGGCACGCCTTTAATCCCAGCACTCAGGAGGCAGAGACAAGTGGATCTCCGTGTGTTCGAGGCTAGCCTGGTCTACAGAGCTAGTTCCAGGCCAGCCAAGGCAACACAGAGAAACCCTGTCTCGAAAAAACAAAAATAAATATATAAATAAATAGATAAATTCCTATATGGGATTTACATTTAGAGCACAATTCAATTCAGACAGACTACACTTCAGATATTGAGTCCAGGGCTGCTGGAGGGACCAGTACAACTCTAGAGAACTCTAGCGATAGAATGTATCCTGGCTATAAGGTATAAGCACGCTTAGCAAACTATGAGGAAAAAGCCAGTAAGCAGCACCCCTCCATGGCCTCTGCCTTGAGTTCCTGCCCTGACTTCCCTTCAGGATGAACTGTGAAAACCCTTTCCTCCCCAAACTGCTTCCGGTCATGGTGTTTATCGTGTCAAAAGCAGGCAAACTAGGACAGAATGTATTCACAGGGTAAGAAATCTGGTCTGGTCCCTAACTCCTTACAGCTATTGTAGCAAGAACCCATTTCCCTCTCTGATTGCAGTTTCTGTGTGTGTGCACTGGTGCACAGACGTGTGGTTGTGTGGTTGGTTATCCATGTGCATATGGAAACCAGAGGTCAACAAACTCAGGCAGGGTCTTTCACTAGCCTGGAGCTCTGAGCAGGCTACTGAATCCCAGGGACCCACCTGTCTCTGCTCCCAGCACTGGGTTCCAGCCTGTACCACATTCATGCCCCACTCACTTGCTTTTTGTTTGTTTTGTTTTTGTTTGTTTGTTTGGTTGGTGGTTTTGGTTTTTCAAGACAGGGTTTCCATGTGTAACAGTCCTAGCTGTCCTGGAACTAGCTCTTATAGACCAGGCTGGCCTTGAACTCACCAGTGATTCACCTGCCTCTGCCCCCAATGCCAGGATTAAAGGTGTGCGCCTCCACTGCCCAGCTTGTTTGTTTGTTTGTTTTTTTAGCCTAAGTCCTGGGGAAGGAACTCAGGACTTTGTGTGTATAAGGCAAGTCCTTTACCCACTAAGCTATTGCTCCAGCTCTTCTGGCCTCAGTTTCTCCTTGGTAAACTAAAATTTTTGCTCCTAAGTGTTCCAGTGAACAGTACCAATTAGGAGCAGTTGTGGTCAGCTGGCTCTGGACTCAGGGCAGTGGGAGTGAGGGACAGCTGGCCCTGTCTGGGGGAATATCTCCTCCCAGTGCTGATGGAACAAGGCACAGATCCGTCCTGTGCCAGGCTATGGGGTCTCTGGCTGGTCACCACCCACACTACCCTAGAGGACTAAAGACGGCTCCAGGATACCTGGAGAAGAAAATGAAAACGAATGGAAAACTCTTGGAGACTTAAGAGGGGACAAAGAAGGGGGTCTTAGCCACTGCCCAACCCATAGAAAACCCAACTGTCAACCATGCTGTCCTTACCCAATCCTGGCTTTGCTAAAGGTTAGATAGCTGAGTACCATCAACGGAAAGCAGTCCCAAGATTCTAGAATCTTTGAGCTAGAAAAGTCCCTTCGAAGTTATCTCATGCAAACCCCTCTCTCATGGCTAGTTTGTCCCTCACTGTCACTGCAACAGCAAGACCAGACAGCACCACAGGGACAGCTCTGACTAAAACTGCTAAGGATCTTGTATCTAGGCCTGGATTTGCCACAGATCTCCAGGGGACCTTGAGCCTGTCACTTCACTCAAGGTTGAACTAAATGATCTATCCCTCTTCCAGTTTTAAAATTCCAAGAGTACAAGTCTCTTGTGGACACAAGTTAGCTATTAACTTTCAGTCAAAGACACTCCTCTCATTACAAGCCCAGGGCCTTGGAGGCTACACCGTGAGTCACTTACTGCTCCTGTCCTGCTGCTACTACCTGCACAGCTCACAAGGCGCCCCATGTGGTTGGGTCTGGCTGTGGGGCAAGTCTCCCCTGAGCCACGAGTGTGTCTACCACTAGTGGCCTGCCTCCACAGAGCCTCTCTCCAGAACCAAATCTGCAATGCAGTTGCAGAGGCCGCTGTATGCCTCAGCCTTGCTCACCCTTCTCAGAGTCCATGGACTTGCCAGCGGCCCCTGTCCTCAGAGGAAAACCTCCAGCAGCTCTGAAACCACCACCTCCCAGATCCTCATCCTTGTGGCAGGTCTCCTGCCCCGCCCCTTCCTCTCTTGCCCTCTCCCTTCCTTCGGTGACTTTAGCCTTGTAATCATCCTGACTTCTGTCTCTAACTCCCCTGACCAGGAAGCTTTCCCTAATTTTGACTGGAGGAAAGGTAAGTATGTCCCTAAGTTATCTTGACCCTCCTGTCTCGAAGAATAATCTTTTGATTCAGCTGCTTTATCATTTTAGGACAGTGAGCCTCTTTTTTGCTTTGTTTGTTTCTGGTTCCCTCCCCCTGTCTCGTGCCCCCCCCCCCCTGCCACACACACACAGGTTTTCTCTGTCCCTAGCTGGCCTTGAACTCCCAGAGATCCACCTGCCTCTGCCTCCAGATTGCTGAGATTAAAGACAAGCCTAAACAACCCAGTTTAGGACAATGAGCCTCTTGAAGGCAAGGACACCCAACTCAAAGATGCCCCTATCAGCCCAAAGCACACGAATAAATAGTTTACATGTCCACAAAATACACTACTACTCCTGCAGCAAGAATGACTCTCAGAACCATAGAAACAAGAGCGAAAGGAACTATTGACAAAAGCATACATGTTAATACAATTCTGTTTGGGTTCTGTTTGGATGGGGTTTCTCTGAGTAACAGCCCTGGCTATCCTGGAACTCACACTATAGACCAA